TGATTTTCCATAAAATTAAAAATATTAACAAAACAAAATGAGAACACTCGATTTAACTCTGCCCATAATACCTCAATTCTTTGATAATGCGCTGACCTGCCAGTGATAACACTATGCCTGTGAAGCATTAACCAGGCTTGTCTAAACAAGAAAGGTAGATGATGATTCAACTGAAACCATCCACACAGCCATGGAACACCATCCTCCATCTCACAAGTTTGTGATTTTTATCTGTAAGCCTATAGAAAAATGAAATGGGAATACTATAACACAGTCAAGGTTATGCACCACTGAGAGTAAATGAAACAATGAGCTCTTTTACACAATCCATTTTGCTAAAGACTTAAAGTAAGAATCAGGGCTTGTAGTTTTAAACTCTATTTATTTACTTTCAGCCAGAAAGAGGATTCAAGTACTTTTTCAAAATAGTAGCGATTCTTTATTTATTCTAAGTAGGTGTGCTAGAATTTCCTCACTGTAGCTGATTGGAGAATGGAAGACATTAGTGTTGTTGACATTCTTTGGGACCATACAGCAGGTCAGTATCTTACAGACTTAGCCTAACATGTTACCTCTGGATTCTTAACGCATGTGACCTTAAGCTCCCATGCACATACTGTTTACCATTTGTGGTAAACTGAAGAATTTCATCAACAACTCTGTTCAGGTTGTCATCTGATAATGTTGCATGCCAATGGCTCAATGCCAGGCTCCTGTCTGTGCCTGTACAGAGTACAGAAGAAAACCCCTAAGCACGCTGCAATGCCTCGCCAGTTCATTCCAAGAGATACTCAATAAGATATTTGCTCTCCTGAAAAGCTGTATTGCGGTCAACCTTGATATCGAGTCATGAGAGGTGGAGGCAGCGAAGACATGTCCGTTCTCAGATGTGGTTCTTTGTCTAGTCTCATAAGAAGTCAAAAAAAAAATCAGCCATCCACATTAGGACTGTAATGTACCCGCTGCATCTCTATTTCATGAGATGCGCAAGTATGGTGTTATTTTTGTGCGTCTATTCTGGGCGCACGTAAAAAAAAAAATTGCAAGCACAAATTTTGCATTTTGAGAAGAAAATTATTTGGCGTGAAGAAAAGTTTAATTTTAACAACATTCATTTCTGCATGCAAGAAATCTATTTCAGTGTTTGCTATTATCCGTATACACACACACAAGAACAGCCCCTCTCGCTCAGTTGGCATTTGCTCTTGCACAGATCTCTGCTCTGTGTGCTCACAGACATTTGCGGACCTGCTCTCAGTGTGTCGTTCTCACTCACAACATCTCTGCTTCGTGCGCGCTCAACTCTCTACACTGTTATAAGTGTGCCACAAAACCAACTAATCACAGACTTGGATGCAAAAATTCTGATGGGCTATTATGGTCTCCAATCAGCTCGCTAGCTACTGCATTCCGGAAACACGGTCCGAATGTAGCTAAATCCATTTTTGGTTAGTATGTTTACTTATTTTATTTTAAAATACACATTTTTTAAGGCCATTGTTGGTTTTAATCTAGTTTAAACCAAACCACTCCACTGGATATAGCTAGCATTAGCTATATCCAGTGGAGTGGATATAGCTGGATATAACTGTGCTTCTTAGAGAAGCACAGTTGCAAACACAAAACTTTTTTACACACACACAAATTCTCATCTGTAGATGCACAAACAAAAAAAATGTCTCATATTTTGGTTTACAAGGTTACAAAACTCAGTACAAACATACGCTTTTGATTTACAAGTACAAAATATTTATGACCACAATTTGAGCCCATAGGAACACCGCTTTCTGCTGAGTGACGTAAAAAGCGGCGTTCAAAGACAGGTAAAAACTGCTGTTCTGTATGGCAAGCCGTTAGAGCCATAAATCGCCACTTTCCTAACCCGTTTGGTTAAGAAATGGCGTAAAAAACGCCGTTTAATTATTCAAAACGCCGAAAAAAGCGGCGTTCTGTTCCGACAAACGCCGCTTTTTCCGCCACTCGGATGGCGCCCTGAACGCACCATCCGAGTGACGTAAAAAGCGGCGTTCAAAGACAGACGGAAACGCCGCTTTTTACGTTACTCGGCACAAAACGCCGTTTTTATGCATCTTTGAACGGCGTTTTTTACGGCGTTCTCTGCCAGCTGTAACGGCGTTTAAAACGGCGTTTTATTGAAATTATGCAGGGCACTCCCCATGGTTCCCTCATCCAATTACTTTCAACTCATTTCACCCAATCAAAGAAGAGGAAGTGCAGACCACACTAATGCATCACCGATTCACCTTGCTGCTAAGTGATTGCCTATTCAGTACCAGTGCTTGTCACAGTATTCACTTGTATTATAATCTCACTATGCATTTTGATGTGTTTAAGGCATGATCGAGCAAACAAACGACAGAATACTTTTTCTGAAACCTTAACTGTGTTACCTGTTATGGCAGCTAACAGGTAATGAGCAGAGCTAGCTCTGCTCATTTCTGAGCTTCTTTCTTATTTTCCTCTTTACTTCTCTTAACCTTTAACTTATGTTTTAGCAATCAGATCCTGCCATCTTGCATTACCGCTTCGTGCTAGTTATGTTGACTTTTCTCTTCTTTTGTCTCCACTTTTTTCACCCGTGTTTGGACACTCGGCGCATGGCTCCTTTGTTTACATTAGGGATCAGCTGTTAGCGCTGCGCCCTGCAGCTGCGCTACCGGCAGACAGACCCTACATCCCCAGTGAGGGAAGAAACGGGGGTGATGTCTCCCGAGGACACCTCACACACCATCTCTCCTTCCTGTAATCACTTTAAATGTGAGATCGCTCCCTGATATGATTGAGGAGCTAATGACGCTAACCCGGTCACAGTGGCAGTATCCCGGTACTCCCTCTGTGAGTAGGCTGCCCGGCTTCCAGCTGCTGCGGGCGGACAAGACGAGAGACAGCGGTGAGAGGAAAGGAGGGGGGCTGGCAGTGTTTGTTAAAGACGGTTGTGGTATCTCTGGGCACATCGCTGTGAAAGAACAACTCTGCAACACAGACATTGCGCTATTAGCGGTTAGCATCCGTGGAGGTAGCCTGTGACTCTCTGTGGTCCGCAGACTGCAAACGCAATCTCCGAGAGCTCTTCTTCTAATATCAGGGGACTTTAATCATGTCTCGCTGGACTCCACACTGCCCACCTTCACCCAGTATGTGACCTGCCCCACCGTAGGCAATAAAACATTGTACTTAATGTATGCCAATGAAAAAGTGGCATACAGTTCATCACCTCCCCCTGCCCAGGGAAGATCCGATCGTAACCGAGTGCGTCTTGTCCCTGTGTGTGCAGCCCTTACTGTGCAGGGAGCCACTAATCACCCACGCAGTGCAGAGATGGTCCGCGGAGGGCATATAAATAAATAATAAAAGCAAGTAAATGACAGTATGCTCTTTCTGAAACAAACGGAGACCTTAACTTTTATCAAAATACCGTTTTACTCAGTTTAAAGTAATACCACTGTATAATAGCCTTCAAATTTAATAATGTTAACAGTATCTCATGAATATTTTTGCCCTTTCAACATGCATTAAAAAAAATAGATATACAGTTTTGAATCAGACCTGTATGTACGTTTTCTCAAAAGTGACGTAAATAAGTAATCTCAAGAACCTGAAATAATAGTTTCCCATGTAAACTGGAGATGTCCTTGTCAATGTCATCAGAGTACTGTGGATGTCTTACACGAATTTGAAACATAAAACCAGAGTGGCACATGACAGTGTTGCACATAACATAACTAGTTTATATGACATGAAGTTATAAAAAAAAAGAAGAATCCATGTAACTTGGTAATGGCTTCTTTCTGATAACTGTCGGCTGCAGTGTGCATTATCTTGACAAAAGTATAAGATACTGAACCCACTGATATGATGTGGTGGAGGAGCACAAATACCTGGACACCCACATATATACATTTGCTGAACTGGAAGATCAAAACAGAAGCTGTACACAAGCAGTGTATGGGCAGGCTATTTTTTGTGAGCAAGCTTGTGCAGCGCACTTTGATGTGTTCTTCTTGGATCAGGAGAGCAAGCTCTGTGATTGGCTGCACTTCGGAAGCTGTGGTGGAGAGGAAGTGAGTGAACAAACTGCCATGCATCATGGATATTCCTCTCAATCCACCTCACCAGGTACTTCTCTAAAAGTGTGACTCAGGTCTGTTGCCCCAAAGGATACAGGAAATGTTAGATATTTTAGTATTTTGGGAGCATGTACTGAATACCTTTTTTGATGATATTATACAAAGGACCCTGTTTCTGCAATGCCCTTTGTTTGAACTTCATCTCCTCTTGCTGCGACCCCACGGGCAACTTCCTTTGGCCTGCTGGTCTGGAAAATCCAACAGTTCATCTATATGTAAAGAAGGCACTTAAACTGGAACAGGCATAGCTGCGTTGATCCTGCTGTGGTATAGTGGGACAGTGCATTCCTCGAGTGCACATCAAGTTTGCAGCCTGCTAAAGATCACACACCATTGATTATGTGCCTCTAGGTATATATGGTTAAACATTTCCTAATGCAAATAACTACATGCAGTATTCTACCATGTGCAAACTTATATCACTAAAGGATTCTAACTGTCTAGTGTTTAATGGACCTGTCAAAAGTATGTTGAGATTATAGAAGGCCCCTTTCAGAGCTAGGGGGAACTTCCTTATATGGTTGTAACTTGTAACTTGAAACTTGTTGACACACGAACCCTTCTGCCTATAAAAACCCTGCACAGAAGAATAAACTTTGAGTTGATTTTGGGAAAGCAGTCTCTGTATCATTTTGTTCTCCCAGGCTACTCCCGGCGCTGTAACTAACCCGCTGAACGGCATACCTGAGCTTACTTTGAATAATTAATCTTATACAAAACTCTGCTTATCGCTGCCCACGTCTCGAAGGAAACTCGATCCACGGATGACCCGGAAGGAGAGATTTCTTTCAGGAAATGCACTGATTTCCATGACAGAATTCACAACAACACAGACACAGGTCGGTTCTTTGAAACGGGTGTTTATTACTTGGGCCTTCTCTCCTTGGCTTCACCATCACCAGTACGGGAGGACAGGGAGCGATCTCACATTTAAAGTGATTACAGGAAGGAGAGATGGTGTGTGAGGTGTCCTCGGGAGACATCACCCCCGTTTCTTCCCTCACTGGGGATGTAGGGTCTGTCTGCCGGTAGCGCAGCTGCAGGGCGCAGCGCTAACAGCTGATCCCTAATGTAAACAAAGGAGCCATGCGCCGAGTGTCCAAACACGGGTGAAAAAAGTGGAGACAAAAGAAGAGAAAAGTCAACATAACTAGCACGAAGCGGTAATGCAAGATGGCAGGATCTGATTGCTAAAACATAAGTTAAAGGTTAAGAGAAGTAAAGAGGAAAATAAGAAAGAAGCTCAGAAATGAGCAGAGCTAGCTCTGCTCATTACCTGTTAGCTGCCATAACAGGTAACACAGTTAAGGTTTCAGAAAAAGTATTCTGTCGTTTGTTTGCTCGATCATGCCTTAAACACATCAAAATGCATAGTGAGATTATAATACAAGTGAATACTGTGACAAGCACTGGTACTGAATAGGCAATCACTTAGCAGCAAGGTGAATCGGTGATGCATTAGTGTGGTCTGCACTTCCTCTTCTTTGATTGGGTGAAATGAGTTGAAAGTAATTGGATGAGGGAACCATGGGGAGTGCCCTGCATAATTTCAATAAAACGCCGTTTTAAACGCCGTTACAGCTGGCAGAGAACGCCGTAAAAAACGCCGTTCAAAGATGCATAAAAACGGCGTTTTGTGCCGAGTAACGTAAAAAACGGCGTTTCCGTCTGTCTTTGAACGCCGCTTTTTACGTCACTCGGATGGTGCGTTCAGGGCGCCATCCGAGTGGCGGAAAAAGCGGCGTTTGTCGGAACAGAACGCCGCTTTTTTCGGCGTTTTGAATAATTAAACGGCGTTTTTTACGCCATTTCTTAACCAAACGGGTTAGGAAAGTGGCGATTTATGGCTCTAACGGCGCCGTAAAATACGGCGTTCTGTGGGGGTCAACGCCGTTTTTTTATTATTATTTTTTTTACCGCGTTCTGAAATTATTAAACTGCGTTTTTTTACACCATTTCTTAACCAGAAGAAAAATTGCAATTTCTATCAGGCTTTCAAAATTTACTTTGAATCTTGCAAAACTTTTACAATTAACATGTGAACATTTCAAAGATTGTTTCTACAGTGACAAATCATGGCATTATCAAAACAGTAATCCCTTACTTTGAAGGCAGAACTTAAACGCAGCAAAAGTGGGTGGGAGAGGAATGTGATATTTGACTCTTTCGTATTTTCAAGCCTCGATATTTTTCATGGTTTCTTGGTCCAGCAGCTTTAAGGATAAAGACAAGATGATGTTGTTTTTGTTTCCTCTCTTCTACCATGGTTTATTTGCAAGTAAGAAAAATTTTCAACTCTATCAGCAGCCACTTTTTTTAACGTATCCATTAACTAGAATAAAGAGGATATAAACGGGATACAGACAATGCAGTTATTCTTTGTGGCTTTAGAAGGGAATTTTATTGGCACAGCTACTTTTCTTAACCTGTTAAGCCCCAAGGGCAGTGCTGTCAACTTAGCGACTTTTTTTTTTTCTAAAAAGCGACTAGTGACAAATCTGGCGATCTTTTCTGGTGTTATTGTTGATTTATGAAGACTTATTGACGCGAAATCACTTCGCTCTTACTCTCAAGCTCGAGCTGCAGTGGGATGAGGCGGTTTTCCTCACGCAACAGTTGCCCCCAGCTGCTGTCAGAGCAGGAGATGTTCACCCCTATGCGCCAAACTGCAAATGAATCGTGCATGAGCGAATTCGCAGTAAATGTACATTTTTCTTTGTCTAAAATAAATCAGTGCACTAAAATACATCATTGCAAACCTAGAAGTTGGACGTCCTTGCAGAGCCTTAATTCCATCTTGTACATCTGATTTCAACTGAAGCTGTCTGGTGAGGCTTACTATGAACACTAGGTGCCTGATAATGTTTTGCAGCTTTTTGGCACTTCATCTGCTTACTCATTTAAGTCAAGCGCCACAGTAGCTGAATCTGCCATAGACAATATTGACCAAAATGAGGATGACCCACTCTTTCTGTGAGCCAGCTCAGCCTGTGTGTGTGGAGGGATGTCTGAAAAAACAAAACAAATTAGGAACAGGCTAGTTCCCATCATTTTTTGTTTTCGTTGCCACTGTTTTTTCTATTGCCTCTTTTTTGTCCATTTCAATTGTTAATGTAGTTTGCTAATAACATTATGGTTAAAAACGTTCTTCTTTTACTGTTACTCCTTGTGGATCACAAGGTTTAAAAGTACTTAAAAAGACACACACACACACACACTAAGGCTACGTTCACACTGCAGGAGAAAGCGCATCAAATCCGATTTTTTTGACCCTATGCCACCCATATCCGATCATGCTATGACAGTGTGAACGGCTTAAATCCGATATTTTCAAATCCGATCTGGGTCACTTTCATATGTGGTACTGAATCCAATACATATCTGATGTTTTAGAAAGCGACTGCTGTTTGAACGGTCAGGTCGCATTAAATCCGTCTTTTACGTCACTGACACAAGACAGACGCCAATTATCAGCGCCAGAGAAGCGCCCGAGAAGACATCGCAAACGCTTCCTGGCCATCCCGTGTAGATGTCAGTGAAACTGTTGGGAAGACAACGTTGGAGAAACGTGAACATTTTATTTATACTGTATAATCTGCAGATTCTGACAGAAATCTGCAACTATCCTTTGAAGCACCGCTCTTCTCTAAAACAGCAATAATGATAATTATTAGGTTATTTACATTATTATGTAAATAACAAAATAACTTAAAGCAAAAATTGGGAAACGTAAAGTCCGAACTCTTTATATTAAGGCCATCTGTCAAACAATACTGTTTGCTCTGGGTCTAAGCAGAGCGTGTGTGTGGAGTCTTCTTTTGCGCATGCGGGCTGCTTTGAGCGTTCACACTAGAGCACGTTTGCTGTTGCATTTTATTTGTAGTGTGAACACGCAGACAAAAAAAATCGGATTTGATCAAAAAATCGGAATTGAGCATTAAGACCTGCAGTGTGAACGTAGCCAAAGTAACTCCGCCAGAGTGGTATTTCGGGTCAAAAAGTGATCGCCTGCCAAAAACTGATTTCCAATGATTCCGTGTGTTTTTTATGTGTAGTATGTTTACATATGTTGCTAAATAGACTTTGGTGAACAGGTATTACAAAGGGGTTATATATAAAATTTAACAATAACTGTTTCTCGAGTATCTTTAAAACTGTGTTATTGTACTTACATTATAATCCGCTCCCTTTTGTCCACTTAAAATATGTTTACAGAACTATTTACAGAACAATTGTTGCATTTGTTGCAATTTCTGCTGTCCTCTTGGCCAGATTACTCTTAAAAAGACATTTTTAAAGTCAACAAGATTTTTTTTTTACTGTATAAATAAAGGATACATAAAAGTCACTGCCAAAAACTGATTGCGGCTTCTACCTTGTTACGGGAATGTTGTTTAATGCTCAAGATGACTTTATATCATTCATGAGGGATACATTTGACATATGTTTCACATATTATAGACCAACAAGTTATTTATAGCAGTTTAAATACGAGCAATCAGTTTTTGGCAAATACCGGAAATCAGTTTTTGGCAAAAGATCACTTTTTGACCAGTCTAAAGCCCGGATAAAGGAGGAGGGTTGGAATTGTGACATTTAAAAAATTAATAATTTAATTTGTAGTTCTAAATATATTCCAAATGCATTTTGGGTGTTTTTTTTACTCACTTTATGTCTCTTCCACGTTATTTTTCTCTCCTACAGCGTCGGTTACAATTAAATAAGCACGACAAATTATGCAAATTAGACGATGGCGTCATTAGCCAATATCGATTTTTCTTACTGAGTAGTTGTCAACACTGCCCAAGGATTTTATTGTATATAACCACTTTCAAAATATGCTTTGGTTCACAGAAAACCATTAATCAACATACAAACATTATCTGTGCAAAGATTCATGCTTCTGAAGTGAAACAGTGAAAAATTACAGCACTTTTACTAATTTGGCACATTTCAACGCTATGTGAGCTGAAATTTCTTAGGTATTTAACAGCAGAAATGAATTAACTCTATTTATGTGCCTAAAAATGCTTCTTTTTTGAATATTTTGGAAAAATTATCCACACACTCACATCCAGTGGGCCCATTTTGCCTTGCTCTGTGGTCAGTTTAAATGGCTCCAGACCTTTTAAACTTTATTTTTACTGAAAACACAATCTTTTTCTAAATCCCCCCACCCCCACACCCAGTCGTTTTTAATATTTAACATTAATTAAGTTTTTAATGCCTAAATGAATGATTTTTAAGTAGTAACATATTTTAACAGGATACGATGTGTGGAGGTTTATGAGGTTTATGACTTTAACCGGGTATCTGGTGTGAGTGTCCTGGCTATGCTGCCAGCCGACAGCATCAAATATTTCTGGCACAACTTTACCTACTTCCAAGGTGCATGGAGAAGACAAGGATCTAAAAGATGCGGAGACTCCAGCAACACTTAAACGTAATGAAAAAAACAACTTTATTAATTGACCAATGCATTTCGACTATACCACCAGCCTCCAACAACCTGATACAAACAGTTGTGTATGTGTACGTGTGTGTGTGTTGTTTTTAAGTGGTAAATATTTGATTTGTATTAAGGGACACGAGTTGATAGACAAAAGCTTGTGACTATTTCACAAACTGCCATAAAAGTCCATTGTTTGGCCACATGAGTTTACCAACCTGAGATTAACGTTCTCTTCAGGAGGCTGTATAAAACATATCATACTGAATTGATCATAATTCTGATGATGTTTGTATATTTCAAGTACTTTTTAACTAATATTGCAAATATTGTTCCACAGTGAAACACTCGTTGATGCACTCTGTCACTGGATCCTCCGGAGACCCAAACATCTCAGAGTTTGCAGGTGTTGTATTGGTTGATGACACTGAGGCTGTTTACTGTGACAGCAGAAACAAGATATTAGAACCAAGACAGGACTGGATGAAAAAAATATTCAGCAATGACACTCAGCACTTGGCATTGTACACGAAACAGTGTTTTGAGGATCAGCCAGACATCTTCAGATTCTTGATTTCTACTTTAAAGCAGCAGTTCAATCAAATAGAAGGTACAGTAAATCAAGGAATATACTTAAGTAAAACTGATTAATGTAAAATCGTAATTTTAATCCATTTTCTTCCACTTATCCAGTTCATGATCAGGAGCTAATCCCAGCTCTAACCCCGTTTTAGGGTAAGAGGCAGAGTACAACCTGAATAGTCCACAAGGGTGTCATACGGCCAATAGAGAGACAGACCACTATTCACACCAACAGCCATTTTAGAGTCACCAGTTAATCACCAGTTAATTCTCATATACTTTCTGGACTGTGGCAAGAAGTCAGACTACCTGGAGAAACACTTCTTGCGCTTGCATGCTTCATGCTTATGTCAATTTGGCATAAGCATGCAAGCACAGGAAGAATCTGCAAACTCCACACAAAAAGGGAACATCTGGCAACAGGACGCAGCCGACAGTAGTAGTGTGATGCCTTAAGGATTATGGGGCGACTGTGGCTCAGGGGCTTGGGAAGCGCATCTGTAACTGGAAGGTCGCCGGTTCGATCCCCCCGGCTCTCCGTCCTGGCCGTTGTGTCCTTGGGCAAGACACTTTACCCTACTGGTGTTGGCCAGAGGGGCCGATGGCGCGATATGGCAGCCTCGCTTCTGTCAGTCTGCCCCAGGGCAGCTGTGGCTACAACTGTAGCTTACCTCTACCAGTGTGTGAGTGAATAGTGGCCTTGGGTGCCTTGAAAAGCGCTATATAAATCCAATCCATTATTATTAAGCAAATTTCGAGCTGGGAAATCTTGGATCCTGCTGTCCTTGTGGATGTTATTTTGACATGTACCACCTACCTAAGCATTGTTGCAAACCGTTTCATCTAAAAAGTATTCCCTAATATCTGTGGCCTCTTTCAGTATGATAATGGACCCCCAACACAAATCAAAAAATGGTTCAGAAACGAGGAACACAGGAACAATTTTTAGATGTTGACTTGTCCTCCAAATTTCTCAGACTTCAATCTGATAGCACTGTGAGATAAGCTGGACAAACAAGTCTGATTCATTCAACCCCCGCCTCACAGCTTACAGGACTTATAGCATCTGTTATGAAATCTGGTTCCAGATACCACAGCACACCATCAGGGCTCTAGTGGCGTACATACCTTGATGGTTCAGGGCTGTTTTGGCAGCAAAAGAGGGTCCAACACAATATTCAACATGTGGCCATAATGCTCTGTCTGATTGGTATAATGTAGTTGTATTCTTAAAAGATGTTAGAGTTATGCCCCCAGCATAGGGGTAATTTGCAACAACCCACTCTTCCTATTCTCAAGAAAGCGCTTACTGGACAGGATAATTCCACGTAGTGAGCAGAGGTTCTTTTGCTTTTGAGGTGATTTGTGCCCAATAAAACAAAACAAAAACAAGTTCCTAATAAAGGCCAAACAAAGCACAATTCTCAATCCCATACTCCTAATTAATAAGAAACTTGAAAACTAACATGGTTTATAGCCTAGATGTCTGTCAGATGATTCCTGGGATGAATCAGTTTCCCCCCTCATCTTTTTTGTAATCTTGAATTATCATACCAACTTTAATAATTAAAAGTCAGCAGATGATCTGACTTGAATCATGGGTACAGTGCTAAATTCAGATAATAGAAATTTCTCATACAATGTAGAATATTATCATAGTTTCTTGCTTACCCTGTTTTTTGTTGTTGTTGTTGTTGTTTTTTCTTTATCTTTCCAGGTGTTCACATATTACAGAGAACAGGTGGATGTGAATGGAATGAAAACACTGATGAAGTGGTTGGTATGGTACAGTATGGGTATAATGGAGAAGGCTTTCTTGAACTGGATCTTAAGACACTGACATGGATCCCACTGAAACCAGAAGCTGCCATTATCAAAAAGGAATGGGATACTGACACAATTGTACTCAAAGACATTGAAAGCCTCCTCACTAAGGTTTGTCGAGAGTGGCTGAAGAGGTATTGGAGCTATGGGAGCAGCTTCCTGCAGAGAACAGGTAACAGGAATCACATGACCTTGTGAAGTTTCACGGATACAGTAGTATCTATTTTATATTTTATTGTTGTTCTGATAATATGAAACGAAACTGGTACAATGTTTAGGTCGATTTTATATTTAACTCTTACTGCAGTAAATGTGCCATAAATGTTTTGTTCTTTTTTTTTTAGCCTGAAATTTGCTGTTCATTACTGCTGACTCCAGGTCTTTCTGTAGTTCTCCAAATGTGGACCTTCTTTTAAAACTCTTCTGATCATTCTTTTCACTCCTCTGTCTGAAATCTTACATAGAGCACCTGGTCAAATTATATTCTTTCCATGTCCAGATTATTGCCCCATCATTGCTCACTCAAACCTTCAGTAGTTTGGAAATTCTTCTGTAACCGAAGCCATCAGTATGTTTTGCAACGATAAGATTACGAAGATCTTGAGAGGCTGATTTTACCCATTGTGAGATGTTTCTTGTGTGACACCTTGGTGATGAGACACCTTTTTAAAGGCCACCAGTTGGGACTGAACCAGCTGAAATTAATTTGCACTAAAGTTTAATCCTCTATGTATTAATGTTAGGCTACATATAGATTCATTATAGATCTGTTGTCCAAAATTAGTGAGGGATATGAGGGAATTTTGGTTCGGTCACAATTAATCCTAATCACTCTGTGAAGGCATAGTGTATGAACAGTATTTTGAAGGTAACTCTAAACTCTTTCCCACCTTCAGTTCTTCCCTCAGTGTCTCTCCTCCAGAAGACTCCCTTCTCTCCAGTCAGCTGCCACGCTACAGGTTTCTATCCTCACAGAGCCATGATGTTCTGGAGGAAAGATGGAGAGGAGATCCATGAAGGTGTGGACCACACAGAGATCCTCCCCAACAATGATGGGACCTTCCAGATAACTGTTAATCTGAATGTTTCATCACTCACACCAGAAGACTGGAAAAAATACGATTGTGTGTTTCATCTCTCTGGTGTTGTGAACAACACTGTAACCAAATTACATAAAAAGGTGATCAGAACAAACTGGAGTGAAAACAACAGGATGGGTGAGAAAAACACATTTAATTCTTATTTCTTTTGTTTGTTTGCTGTTACTATATGTGGTGTTTGAATGTTTTGTCCACTTTTTGTATTTGAACTCACAGTTCCCAAGGAGCCTTTTTTCATTGCCCATAAGGTTAATGCTATTTAAATTTCACATTCACTGTTTAGACCATAGGTGTCAAACTCTGGCCCGTGAAGCCATACCAAATTACTATTAGAGCTGGCCTACTGGTATTATACAGCTAATATATGTATCGTTTAGTATTAAGCTTTGCTTGTTCCATATTCAGTTTTTCAGCAAAACCTGTTTGAGTCCATAAGAAAAGATTCATTCTTATATCTGGAGGAAGATTTTTTTTTTTCAATAAATATTAACGTTAGCCCGCGACTTTGTTCCAGTTTTGAATTTTGGCCCACTGTGTATTTGAGTTTGACACCCCTGGTTTAGACTATGCAACCCTGACACTGATCCTGGAATTTTAAAATTCTTCGCAATGTGTCTAATCTTTATTATGTTTAGCCTCACAACTGGGGAGCTGTTACTGAATGAATTTAGGTGGTGGTTTGGTGTGTGAAAAAGGCACACATACAAATCTTACATAAATGCCTCCTACACTAAACTTCTGTAGTTGACATTCATCCTGTTAAATTCTAAAGTGTTACATTCATATTTTCTACCTTCATGCTAAGTATTTTAAAGTGGCTGAGATTTGCACAGAGCGACTCCCAATCTCTTCTCTATCAGCAGTCATTGCTACACTGATGCAACTAGTGCCACAAGCCACGGTTGCTCAGGATGCAGGTTTAATTTGGGGTTGTCTTAGATGACTTGATAAATAGCTGCAGTCTCTTCCACCCCTATAACCTTCTATTCATTGGCATATGTAATGTGTTCTTCTGCATAGTCTTGGTGTGAATTTTAACCCAATAGCTGGGGGTTGGATTGGTGGGTGCCAAGGCATGCCCACACACTGATGTGCCATGCACACTTCACCTCTGGGGATTCAACCTGCTCAGAGATCCCCTCCACCTCTGCCATGCCGCAAGATGCCCAATTTCTGTGGTGTACCATGAAGAGGAAAAGTAGGAGTCTTAACAGAGGAGAGGCTGGCAGGAGGGACTTCCCCACATGGCCTTCTTTTTTGCTTTTTGGCCTAGCCAGCCAGAGAAGCAAACACTAGATGCATCCCACTGCCCCGCGGGCAAACACACAACAAATTGACAGCAGTGATAAATAATATCCTACAATATTTCAGGACCACTCTGGTTCCTAAATTGCTTTTCTGTTGGGGCAAAAAATTTCCATCCCCCCCCCCCCTACAAATCAGACCCATAATCATCATAATGATTTCACATCAGTACAGCCTCATAGAGAGATAATACTCCCCCCCCCCCTGTTATCAATATGTAATTTAAAGATTTATAGATGAATGAATATCACAGTAATGGGTTCATCTGTGTATTTCATCTTCTTTTTCTGAGCAGAATTAATCTCCATCATTGTTGTTGTTCCTGTTCTCATCGCCGTTGCTGCTGTTGGATTTGTTGTTTACAAAAAGAAGGAAGGTGAGAGATTCAAATAGACTGAGCTGATGCTTTAATAAAACTAAACAATCTGAAATTATGTTTTCTTTTTATTTCATTTCAGAAAAAGAAATTGCACCTCGTAAGTAAACTGTTTTACCATTTTACTTTGGTCTGTGGTTTTAAAAAGGTTGTATTGATATTGTACAATAGTCTTATGATATATAAATCCAGACTAGGACCAGTGGAATAACTATGTATTTTGGATCTTATAGCTCGTGTTAACATGAAGGAATTTTCTGAGGCATTGAACTGAGATTTGAAACACAGCCCACACAGCGCCATATGGGAAGCTATACACACTTGCGGTTAAACACATTAAAAGCAAAGATGTCACAGACTTTGACCTTGGACCCAGGATTTTGACAGTTTTTTTTCCCCTTGTTTTCTATTTGATTTTTATTCCTTTTGACTTTTTAAACTTAGTTAACCAATGTTGTTTCTTCTGTGTTGTTCATTATTACAACATATAATTATTATTATTACAATATTATTACTATGTGCATTCGTATATTGTTAAGTCTGTCCTTTAGTTTTGTATTTGTGGTTATCTTTTGGTATTGGATGATTCTCCTTGTCACCTCTGTTCTTAGTTATGTTGGTGGTAATGTTAGTACCACCAACACATGGAGGACCACAAGAGCCACGCGCATCGAAATAAAGATTTCTGTGCTTAAATAATGAATTGTAGAATAAATTCTGCATTTGTAAATTCATTTTTGAATTAAAATTTAATAAACTGCATTTCAAAATCCTTTCTCCAATTGCACTTTAATAAACTGCATTTCAAAATCCTTTTTCCAATTGCACTTTAATAAACTGCATTTCACAATCCATTTCCCTTTCCTGTTCGCTCCGGGATTAGCTGCTGGATTAGCTCTTCGATAAACAACTTCCTTGCGGCTATTCAATTTAGCCACACCGTGGGATGTAAGGAGCTCTCTGATTGGTTGGATAGACACAGGCTGTCTGCCTGGATTTTTCTAGCTCATAGCTTCGCCCTGCTAAGAAGCGTGTGTGCTTGTACAAAGGCTGTTCAGCCTCGAGATTTACACTAGGCTCGACACGGATATGTGAAGAATGAAGGGACCCTGCAGCGAAACGGAGAGCTCAACCTCTGACTGAGTGCCTGTTTTCGCAGTCTGACCACCTGTTGAAGGTAATGTGCTAACGTGGCTAACGCTAGCATCACCACACATAGCCCCGTTATTTTAAGGTCATCTTAGTTTATGAAAGTTTTACGTCGCAGCTGTACGAGCCAGCTACGTGTTTTGTAAACTGCTGTGCTCTTCACAAATAAAGCTGGAAGCAGTTCAGACTGTTAGAACCAGCACTGAGGCCTGTTACATTTATACAGTGTTACAGCAATGGCTGCAACCTACAGCTTTTAAACTAGCGATTAAAATGCTGACAGTAAACTTGTCAGTCCAGGTGTTACCACATTACTCTATGGTACTTAGAGTTAAAACAACTGAGACAGGCTGATTAAAATAACAGCTGTCAGTTCTCTCATTCCTTATATCAAGACTGGAGATCACACTACTGATTTCAGTTCATTTAATATATGAGTGCACAGATTCATTCTCAACTGGACATAAATGATCTGTTAGCTGTTTGACAACCACTCTTTCAAGGATTTTTGATATGAAAGGAAGGTTGGAGATTGGGCTATAATTAGCTAAGACTGCTGGGTCTAGAGATGGCTTTTTAAGTAAAGGTTTAACTACAGCCAGCTTGAAGGCCTGTGGTACATAGCTGATTATTAGAGATAGGTAAATCATATTTAAGATTGAAGCATTAATTAATGGTAGGACCACTTGGAGCAGTTTTGTAGGAATGGGGTCTAAAATGTTGATGGTTTAGAGGAAGTAATTATTGAAGTTAACTCAGAAAGATCAACTGGAGAAAAAGAGTCTAAATGAATATCAATGGTACTAAGAGTAGCTGTAGATAATGTTACATCTGTGAGATGAATATTGGAAATTTTGTCTCTAATAATTAAAATTTTATTTGTGAAGACGTTCATGAAGTCATTACTAGTTAACGTTAAAGGGATGATTGGCTCAACAGTACTCTTACTTTTTGTCAGCCTGGCTACAGTGCTGAAGAGAAACCTAGGGTTGTTCTTATTTTCTTCAATCAGTGATGAATAGTAAGAGGTTCTGGCTTTGCGGACGGCTTTCTAATAAAGCAAAAAACTATTTCTCCAGGCTAAATGATGATCTTCTAAATTTGTGACACGCCATTTCCTCTCCAGCTTACGAGTTATCTACGAGTTAGGCTACGTGTGTGAGAATTATACCACGGAGTCAGGTACTTCTGATTTGAGTCCCTAGTTTTCACCGGAACTACAGTATCCCGAGTTGTACGTAGTGAGGAGGTAAAATTATTAACAAGATAATCGACCTCTGATGGGGTAGCGTTCAGATAGCTGCTCTGCTCTATGAGCATTAAAGATGATAACAGTGGGTGGATTATATTCTTAAACTTAGTTACAGCGCTTTCAGAAAGACATCTACTGTGATAAAGTCTACTCTCCACTGCTGTGTAATCAATTATTGTAAATGTAAATGTTATCAGGAAATGATCAGACAGGAGAGAGTTTTCAGGAAACACTGTTAATTGTTCAGTTTCTATGCCATATGTTAAAACAAGATCTAGAGTGTGAATAAACCAACACGTTCTCACTCCCAACTCGTCAAACGTGTGACGCATGGTCAGGCTCCCTCTGCTTCACTGATGGACGCGCAGGGTACCCCCCTCGCGTCGGGAATTGACGTGAAGGGTCCTCCGATTGAAGAGACTGCCGCGGAAGTGCCTGTTGTCGGTATATTTAGACATTTTCCAAATCACATTGTAGTGACGTATACTGAATACAATAAATTATATAATGTAAGCAACTACCTGAGAAACAGCAGATACAGCAGATATATTAATTATAGGCTATTACTTTTGTATAGTTTATTGCATTTATGGAGGGAGTGATGTATGCTGGGTAATGGCACAGCTAGCTACTGGGTGACTTTATTCACCCGCTTCGGCTGTTATCAGTCCATACAATGGGCGTTATTAGCACAAATCAGTCCCATAGATATGGGCCATCTCCTGCTAGATTGTTCAGAAGGTTGTTCTCATCCATCCAGATGGAGGATCACCAACAGGAGCGTGGAAAGATTCCAGAATCCACTCTGGCTGGAATCCGGTGGGTATGCAGTGTTTACAGGTAAGACCATTTAAACGGACAGCATTTATAGAATGACTATTAAAAGTCAGCGAGTGTCAGTAATGTTAATGTGGTTATGTTAGTAATACACAGAGTGCTAATATAACAGCTTTAAGATGCATTTGTAGATATTATTACGTGTTTTACCGTCTTTATGGTGCTAGCTTAAAGTTACGGTGTAAACGTTAGCTTATATTGGAGTAAAGCTGTTACTGTTTAAACGATGTTAGCACAGAAATATTAGCTTCTGTCATGACTGATGAAGTTACTAGTTAATAAAGTTTCCAGTAAAGTGTTTAATCGCAGCCACAGACTGACAGCAAATATCTCGATTAGCTTCAGTGCATCTATAATAAATATGTGCAAGTTTCAGTGCTTCGTTTAAACTGTATGATACTTATACTGACCCAGGGTCAGTGTAAAATACAATCCTAGCTGTGTGAACAAAGCCTGGCTCCTTTAATCCTGCATGAAAAACCTCAGGATGCAGGTTATTATTACTCTTTCCTGCTGGCACACCTGTCACACCTGAGAGTCAGCTAGAAACGTACAGTGACGTGGACATCATGCAAAGACTGCCAGACTCTGTAATACTGCAAATGATCAGTGACTCAGATTAACACTAAACTTTAAACGGCACCTCTGTGTCTCTGTGTGCTGAACATCTAGGATTGAGTCAGGCTGCATCAGCTGAAGCTGTTATTTGTATATATCAGTATTTTTTATTCAGGTGTGGGGAAAATACGTAAGACTGCAGTGAAGCGATGCACCAGAGTAATCCCTGGCCAAAGGTATCGTACTCAAATCAGACTACTGATCCAGCCACATCAGCCTGTTGTGAGGTCTGTTTAAAGTTGACTAAAAGTGAACTGCAGGTTCCTGAGAGGTGGACTGTGAGCACAGAAACACATGTTCATACATACAGCTGCAGCAAACTTACATTAATTTTACATAGATTTGTTACTCTGATGTCTGTCTCTGTGTTAGTCCTCTGACAGACTGGTGACCTGTCCAGGTGTGCTCTACCGATGACTACTGGGACAGGCTCTAGCCTTTTTAATAGAAATGTTCTGTCATTCTCATTTAAAGTATTTAAGTGCTTATGCATATGCTTAGTTGTGACACTGTTATAGACTGTTCAGTGAAAGTTTCTAAAACTAGATGAACTTACTTCAGCGTCAGCAGTTTGAGAAAACAACTCCCTTTACAGGTGCTGATAAGGCCAAGGGCACAAAACAGCATAACCATTGATCCGTTGAAGTGTGGTGCGATCAGTTTAAGTTCCTCCCTCTTCCTTGGAATGCATAAAGGAGTAGGAGCACCACTTCTGTGGCAGAGCTGACATGACTGAACTGTGATGTTTGATGTGTGTTGGCGCAGTAATAAATAGCTTGATCACAGCTCTTTCTGTGTTGCAGACTTTATTTAAAAAAATTCCACGACACCCCCCCCCCCCCTCCCACTGTGAACCTGAATTGAATATTCAGAAGACATTTGTTTAAATAGTTCTAGAAATTTGAGCTGTTGGTGTGTCCTTGGATTGTGTGGTAATAATATTAGAGCCTGCAATCTTTCTTACTGCATCTCTACTATGAGTCATGTTACCTGAGATTAATTCTATGTTTACCTGTCAGCCTGGACGAATGTGCTGTGTCAGGGGTGTCAAACTCAAATACACAGCGGGCCAAAATTCAAAACTGGAACAAAGTCGCGGGCTAACATTAATATTTATTGAAACATATTTATTCCTCCAGATATAAGAATGAATCTTTTCTTATGGACACGTTTTGCTGAACAACTGAATATGGAACAAGCCGAGCTTAATACTTAACAATATATATATTAGCTGTATAATACCAGTAGGCCAGCTCTAATAGTAATTTGGTATGGCTTCGGGACGATGCGGTTCGAGGGCAGTTGCCTGCTTTGTCTAAGGCATAGGTGTCAAACTCTGGCCCGCGGGCCAAATGTAATTAGGCTGCGGGCCAAATTTGGCCCGCGGGCCAGAGTTTGACACCTATGTGCTGTGTGAAGGAAATTAAATGAAATCAGATCTGAACTGCGTACATTTAAGGAACCTGTTCATATTTAATTGAAATATGACCCAGTGATTTTTTTTGATTGCTGATTCCAAGAGAGTCTTTGTGGAAATCCTGTTTGGCTTTTTGTTATTTTAATTCTCTTCTCTGTTTTCCAGAACAGTTCTCCACAGTTGCTGTCCACATGGGTCAGTGGGACCAAGAAGCACTCTGCTAATGTGGGACTCTGACCAGCAACATCCAGCAAGACCCAGACAGCGTTTTCTATCTCCCAGCTGGAGGTTTTGTTTGTCTGTGACTGGAGAGTCAGATTTTTGTTGAGCTTCACACTTGCAGAGGTAAGTCAGTTTGCAGAGATCCCTCCCACCCTGGCTTTTATGTGCTAGATTTCTTATCTGAAACAGTAATATTTCAGTGACTGCTGCTTATACCAAAGGTTAATACACACTACTGATCCCTGATAGGAGAATCATCACCTCTGCCAACAAAGAAGCCTGGTGGATGTTTGTTTACAGTCTGATGATGGGACATCATGCTCTGCATCTTCAAAGTTTGCCTCCTCATTATTATTCATACCCAGTAATGTGAAGTATGCTTATATCTACTGTAACTGAACCAACCTGGTGCTCTTCATTTATGGAGGCTGTTGAGTCTGAATGTTGGATGTTGTGTATCTCGTGTTCTCTGGGCTTTGTTGTCCTCAGTCTTTTCGCAGGATCAGAAAACAAAACCAGGAGGCGCGTAAATGTTTCTTCTCTATGATGTTTCTTCAAATGTTTCTTCTGGATGATGATAAGACTGTGACACGGGATGCCACCTTTGGTCTTGTGATGAAGCAAAGCTCAGGAAGATGTGGGATTAAATGGTACCCACATGTGTGCTGCTGAGAAGGATGAACAGGGGCACCTGCAGCCAAATCCAAGCCTCAGGTTAGTTGTAGTTGCAGAACGCTATAGGACTGAGACAGCTGAGGCATCAAATGTTTGATTAAACGGATCAAAGAGAAGTTTCTTCCCTATAATTATCACTTCTTAAAATCTGTAGCAACTTCAAGTTTGTCAGCGTGCTGAGCATGCTCAGAATGTGACAATATATTTTTGTTCAATATTTAATTTCTTTCAGTTGCAATTGTTAAATAAAAAAAAAAAAATATATATATATTCTTATAATTTAGCAAACTAATTTATCAAAAAAAATATACATATATCTGTATTAGTTTTAATAAATTAATTTGACAGCTGTATTGAAAATACCATATTGTATTCATACAGAATCAGTTTGGTATCATTGTTTGTCTGCTCACTGATTGTTGAAGCTAAGAGCTGCTTTGATCTGTTTAGATCTAAAGTATCCAAAGTTGAGCTCTGATGTTTCTTCACCCCTGTGTGTGTGATATCTGATTCCTACATGCTGGCAGAGCAGCAGTTTGTGCTCACAGATGGTGATGGTGTGGAGAGACGGTGGTGTTTCCTCAGAAGAACCAGCAGAGTCACAAAGGGCACCAGTCCATCTCACCACCTTGACTTGCTGACTGATGTTCGTCTGCACTGCACAGAGGAAATCAACTGACCGAGGTTTGTCCAGTGACGTGTTATGAAATGTATATTTGTTTTATGCTTACAGATATGTTTTTCTTGACAGAGGCTCTGCAGAGGTTAGACGAAGCAGAGAAAACATGTGCTTTACATTTTACTGTGATTTATTGAGATATTTGTTGCCTGATGTTCAGCAGGAATGGAGAAATACACTCAACAAAAATATAAACGGCAACACCTTTGTTTCTGCTCCGATTTGACATGGGATGGACATAAAGACCTAAAAGTCACTCCAGATACACAATATTACCATCCCCCCCAAACATTGTTGACAAATCAGTCTAAATGTGTGATAGTGAGCACTTCTGCTTTGCTGAGATAATCCATCCCACCTCACAGGTGTGCCACATCAAGATGCTGATCTGACATGAGTAGTGCACAGGTGTACCTTATACTGCCCACAATAAAAGGCCACCCTGGAATGTGCAGTTTTGTCTCACAGCAAAATGCCACAGATGCCACAAGCATTGAGGGAGCGTGCAATTGGCATGCTGACAGCAGGAATGTCAACCAGATCTGTTGCCCGTGCATTGAATGTCCATCTTTCAACCATAAGCCGTCTCCACAGGCGTTTCAGAGAATATGGCAGCACATCCAACCGGCCTCACAACCGCAGACCACGTGTAACCACACCAGCCCAGGACCACCACATCCAGCAGGTTCACCTCCAAGATCGTCGGAGACCAGCCACTCAGACAGCTGCTGGAACAATTGGTGTGCACAACCAAACAATTTCTGCACAAACTGTCAGAAACCGTCTCAGGGACGCTCAACTGCATGCCCGTCGTCCTCATCGGGGTCTTGACCTGACTCCAGCTCGTCGCCGCAACAGACTTGTGTGGGCAAATGCTCACATTCGATGGCGTCTGGCACGTTGGAGAGGTGTTCTCTTCACGGATGAATCTCGGTTCACATTGTTCAGGGCAGATGGCAGACAGCGTGTGTGGCGTCGTGTGGGTGAGCGCTTTGCTGATGTCAATGTTGTGGATCGAGTGGCCCATGGTGGTGGTGGGGTTATGGTATGGGCAGGCATCTGTTATGGACGAAGAACACGGGTGCATTTCATTGATGGCATTCTGAATGCACAGAGATACCGTGATGAGATCCTGAGGCCCATTATTGTGCCATACATCCATGAACACCACCTCATGTTCCAGCAAGATAATGCACGGCCCCATGTTGCAAGGATCTGTACACAGTTCTTGGATGCTGAAAATGTCCCAGTTCTTGCATGGCCAGCATACTCACCGGACATGTCACCCAATGAGCATGTTTGGGATGTGCTTGACCGGTGTATACGACAGCGTGTACCAGTTCCCACGAATATCCAAGAAACTGAACAAAACTGAACATTCCAGGGTGGCCTTTTATTGTGGGCAGTCTGAGGTACACCTGTGCACTACTCATGATGTCAGATCAGCATCCTGATGTGGCACACCTGTGAGGTGGGATGGATTATCTCAATATGGCAGATGTGCCCACTACCACACATTTGGACTGATTTGTGACCACTGTTTGGGAGGGATGGTTATATTGTGTATCTGGAATGAATTTTAGGTCTCTACGTCCATCCCATGGGGAATGGGAGCAGTAACAAAGGTGTTGCGTTTATATTTTTGTTGAGTGTATATTATTAAAAATATATTAAATTATTATGCAGTGATCTTGTCAGTATTGAATGCATGAAACTTTCACATCTCAGACGACATCTTATAACCAAGTACACGATGCTGAAAGACAAACCAAATTTTTTTCTGAGGCAGCAAAAGTCAGCGTTTTACTTTTGTGCTGTAGCCAAAGCCATTCTCCCAAAAGCTGGTAAGTCACACACAACTGGCAAACAGCTGTGTCTACCATTAGTTAAAGAGTTAACATGCAGAGAGGAGGCTGCCAAACATTTGAACTTTGTGCCACTTTCCAACGACACAGTGTCACTGCTAATAGGAGCCATGGCCGATGATGTTCAAAACTGATTGATCATATTAAAAGTAGTTGCTATTTTTCTATTCAGCTGCATCATGCTAATAGCTAGCAGCTCAATGTCCTTATCACAGAGAATCTCTTTGATATTTAGGTGTACAGAGTTGTACTATCCTTCATAAACACAGCCAGACCCGCTTGTCTATTCTTCCCGCTGTCGTTGTTGTGTCAGCCTGAAGTTGATAAAAACTGTCCATGTTTATGTATGTGTCCAGAGTTACTATGGTAGCCACTTCTCACACAGGATAATTAAGCTGCTCTCTCTTCAAGCCCCCTGATGCTGGGTAAGGGACACCAAGTCATCAACTTTTTAGCAAAGGATCTCCCGTTCCCCATGATGATGGACGGGATGATGGGTCTCTACCTTCTCCTCTGGTTACAGCGCCTGATGCTGTTGTGGTTCCCTTGTCTGTTTCTCCTCAGCTTGACGGGGAAATCAGGCGGCTCGGTGGGAGGCAGCACCACAGAACTCTCCAGCCTTTTTAATTCAAGGTGCTCCAAAGGCTTGGGGAACAGGGCTGCCTCCTCGATCTAAGTAGGACGATGGGGGTATTGACTGGGGTGTCTTTTGTGTCTCAGCTGCAGGGGAGAGGTGGAGTAGCTGGTTCAGGCACGATCTGATATCCTCGTGTTGGTGTTGTTCCCAGATCATCATACTAAATGTTGTTCCAGGATCAACATTGCAAGTGACCAATCAGAATGTTGTGACGTCATACTTTTGCGACTTCGGGAGAAACTGGCGTAAAACAAAAAACTGTACTTAAGCTGCGAGAAACCGCCTCTGTCCGCCGATCAACTGACCCTGACCCTAACCCTGACCCTAACCGTAACCCTTTAATAAACAGTAAGCAGAATTGATATTGTCCTTGCAACATTGGAATTTCATAAATGCACGAATGGCTTGGCGCGCAAAAGAATAACGTCACAACAATGTGATTGGTCACTTGCAATGTTGAACCTGAAACAACATTTTCATGATGGTCTGGGAACAACACCAACACGAGGATATCAGATCATCCGCTGGTTCAGGGTGTGGTGTCAGGGCTGATCCACACAGCTGACCTCCATCATCTAATCATTATTTTTTTCTAAAATTCGAAAATCAGAAAGATGTTTGATGAAGACTCCTCTTCTATCAGTCCATCAGCAGGCAGAAGCAGCTGTGTGCTCAGTTCCTCTTTTAGAGTCTGAAGTCTTACAACTGATTCAAGAAACAAAACTGAAAACATCAGTTGTGCAATGAGAACATTTAGTTGCTGATTTACTTGCTTCATTGGCCCAACTTCCTGCAGACTATATCAGATATACTTCAGCAGTGTTTCTGGAATTGTTAATCTACTCTAACTTTTATTCTTTGTATTTCATTTTCTTTCTTTTTCCTTTAACTATCGCAAACAGAATATACAACAGTATTCATTCGCACTATTGTTGAAGAAACATTTTCCTTCTTCCTTCTTTTGACATATGTACATATATGTCAAAATTTGTGTGTACATATAATTTTTATTAATATTTTAAAAAGGCACTTTCATTCTTACCTGTGTTTTGTCCATGTTATACCTGGGCCCTATTTCAGGAAGCCGGTTTAGTGGAAAAACTGAGTAAGTATACCCTGAGTTAACGAAAACTCTGGGTTTTCGGTTTCACAAAGCGAGTTCAGATGAAGCCTCAGTGAGTCACTATGACGACACACTCCGTGAAGCTAACCTGCCCCCTAGCAGGTTTACTACAACTAACCCTGACTGTCTCCGCCCCTTTGTCGGAAACCTGACAGTAGGAAGTGTCGGACATGGCGTGCCACTTCCTTGAAGAGCCAGTAGATCGTGAAGCCCAAATTCTCCGCAGAGCTCACCGCCGGGAGAGAGTGATCAGAGCGCGTTTGGACATTTTATCATTTCCTGATGATTTTCTGTGCGAACGTTACCGTTTCTCAGCACAATCTCTAAGTTATTTGGATAACATCCTCAGGCCATATATTACGCATGTGACACATCGCGGACATGCTCTCAGTTCATTACATATTATTTGTATTGCACTTCGGTTTCTTGCAAACGGGAGCTTTCTGTATAATATTGGTGACGCTGAGCACGTTTCCAAGGCTACCGTCTGTCGGGCAGTCAGGAATGTTACAGTTGCACTGAAACGTCTCCTGCACTCGTTTGTGGTGTTCCCCGGTCATAGACCCACAAGATTTATCAAAGAGGGATGCCACAAAATTGCAGGTATCAGGATGACCAAAACTTAATTTATGATGTGGTGATACTTGGACTACTACTTAAATTGTACATTTATTTTCAGGGTTCCCAGGCGTGATTGGCTGTACAGATGGCACTCACATTCCAATCATTGCTCCTTCAGTAAATGAAGGAGACTATGTGAACAGGAAGTCTTTCCACAGCATTAATGTACAGGTACATAGTTCCCTGTAGCATGTCAAACTAACAAATTATTTCATTATAGTAATGGATGCTAATTTGTGTTCTCTGCACTGTGAAGATCATATATGATGCTGCCAACATTATCACAAATGTGGAAGCCAAGTGGCCAGGCTCTGTCCATGACTCACAAATATTCCGTGAATGTACACTGAGCACAAAATTTGGACATGGTGAGTTGAGAATACTTTAAAATATATAAAGACCAATTGCTTCAGGGACATTTGAACTGAAGTGTACCCTTCTGTCTTAGGAGAGTTCACTGGCTACTTGCTTGGTGATAGGGGGTATCCATGTTTACCCTATTTGCTTACCCCTTACCCTGACCCTGAACCGGGCCCACAGCAGCGATATAATCTGGCTAATTGCAGGACAAGAGCCAGAATTGAAATGACTATCGGAATGCTTAAGGCCCGGTTCCAGTGCCTGCAAAGACTCAGGGTCACCCCAGAAAGGGCATGTGACATTATTGTGGCATGTGTGATTCTTCACAACATTGCCACAATTAGAGGAGAACACTGTCCTTCTGAACCAAACCTCAGCAGTGATCCAAACCATGAACATCCTGACCCTCCCACGGACATACAAGATGGAAGCGCAGTCAGAGACACCATATGTCACAATCATTTCTTTTGACCCATCACCTCAACATGTTGAAAGAAGAATAAACAGATTTTTTTGTTCAACTGGCTTTATTGGTCGCCTGTATTTCCTGTACACAAAGTATTAAAAGATGTAAACCTCATAAAGTGTCTCTGTTGCTTCCTCCTCTGTAACAGCTGTCAATGTTTCTTCATTATTTTCCTGTAGTAAAGAAATAAACAACATTGCTGTTCTACTGTAAACTCATATAATCTGTGGAGTATTAAGAGTACTCACAACTGCATGTTGGTCTGGCTCAACAGGAGGCTGCACCAGATGCAGTACACCACCACCATCAACTGATAGAATATGAGGTTTATACAGGTCACTTATAACTTACAAGGGACCAAATGGCAATTAACAAACATACCAATCACCTTACACTTCATTGTCATTATGCTCTCAAAGACAACCAAGACTGAGGGAAGGCAAAATCAGTCGGAAAATAACTTCACTACAAAATAATCCATTATGGTAAAGAGTTTATCAGATGAATGAGTAGCACTGCAAAGGTGACTGTGGAGAAAGGATGTATGCACATCATGTATTATTTTGAAGTTACCCCTTATGTAGGCACTTGTGTCTTGCGGGGTTATTGACTCAGAGGATGTCCCCGCAGAGATGCCTTCGGCCACAGGGCGCCCACTGTTTTGGCTGAGGGCCAACTGCTCAGCCTGTGTGAGTGGTGGCGGTGGAGGACCCCCACCTGTTTTTCGGGCCTCCGCTTTTTTTCTGTTGGCTATAACGGGCCACATTTGAGCATACAGAGTAAGCAAATATGTACTTGTAATGTGCTCAGATAATTTCAATAAGTGCTTACAGAAAGAAAATTAATGTAGCCTCTAACAGCAATTGATTTACATGGGACAAACAGACCAAGCACTATGGCTCATAATACAATTACACCTTACCTGTTTGGACTATATTTTTATATTTCATTTTTACTTGCTGCCAGGCACGGTTGGGGCCTGTTGGGTTGCACCTGCGCTCACATCACAAAATAAAATGTATAAAATAACATATGATAAAATAACGTGTTAAATGGGTGGAAATCCCTAGATCAATGTTTATATTAACACTCAGGCATTGACTCTGTCGGCTATGTTTTGCCATGCATGCTCCCTTTCTTTTGCACCTGTGGCTGTGTTACTTTTTTCCGCGGAATTTGCATGTTATCGGCATATGCTGCCATCAGAATTTCGGCCTCAAGCGCTGTGAAATACATTGACCGCGCCTTCTTTCCCTCCGTCTCCATGGTGACTCGCTTAATCTGTGCTCCGCTTATCAGGGCTTTATGTATCCTCGTCCGCGCGCTTCACTTGGGGTTAAAGCAACTCCGCGTTGACTGAACTAATTGTTATCAGCCTTTCTGAAACCGAATATTCCGAGTTGGACAGTTCGGGGTTACTCAACCCTGAGTATCGTTTTTCACTCTGAGTTTTCTAAACCGGCTTCCTGAAATAGGGCCCAGGTCTCTTCAGTTGTCATGGTTACTAGCCTGCTAATGCTTGGAAGTCTTCTCTTGATACCAGGAAGTGGAGAACTCAGAGGTCAAACTCTTATTCTTGGAAATCAAAAACCAGTTTAACTCTTAAGCAGTCGAAAAATCTTCAATTACATTGTAGAGCCAAATCTGCTGAATTTACCCCAAAATGGTCTCCAGTTATCAATAAACCAGCCAGTGAAATTGCCTTAGTGTCCAAACACAAATATCATGTCCACATGTATATTTAATAAAACTATTTTTGTTATATAATTCACATCTGCTTTTTTTTTCTTCAATATTTTACTTATTGTTGCTAATTTTTTACCTCTGACAACAAGGTGATGTATTTGGCAGCGTTCGCATGTCAGTCTGTCACTTACGTAAGCCAAAAACAACAGCAGCTCTTCATCTGATTGTGATGGAACAAATAACTCGACATAATAACAATTTCTGCACTGCTAAGTCAAAAAAATGAAGTTTTGTAGATCTGCAAAATATACAGAATTAAAAACGTATTTCTACACCTCTGTGGTGGAAGACACATTATTTATTATACTTCTACATGTGACATTCAGAAGTTACTTAAACTTCTTCGTAGGTTTAGACAATCAAAAGAAAATGTTTTCTGATCGTGATCTGCCAGGTTGTTGAAGAGCTATGCAACAGGATACAAACAAAAGAAGCAAAAGAAACAGACAAATCATAGAGAAGCAGGGGAATAGAAAACATACAATTTAACTAAAACAACTGCAGTTACAATGTAGACACTGAACATTTTGACAAAAGCACCAAATTCCATCGTGTTCCTCTGTGATCTGTTAAGATTCAAAATTGAGGAGGGAGAGTACAAACCACTCTTGGTCCAGTAGGTCTTTGGTCAAACAATGATTTTAATGAATACACGCGTGGGAAGACACTCTGTACGCAGACAGCCAGTAGTCCTCGACTTAATCAGAGCATACACAGATTTTTATAGCATCAGGGTTTGAATTACTGACGCCCCTTCATACGTCACAGACAGGATATATACATACGTCAAATCAAAACCACAATGACCTTTTAACACAGTTTAAAAGAACATCGTCTTCCATCTTCATAACAGGTGCATCCTGTCACTGCCGGATGCTCGCTTGTCATCTTGACACCTCAGCAGCAGTTCTGCGACAAACTGCTCTTTGCAACATCAGCAAAACATAATTAAACTTTCCCCCATAAATGAATCTAACTAAAAGTGTGTGTGTGTCTGCGTCTGTGTGCTAACCACAATTGCACCCTGTTTCACCTCGCGACTAGCTCCTGACCCCTCACCAGACAGAGAGACAGAAACCACTCTCGTATGTGTAATAATCGAACTGAAACTATGGATATGACTTTTACTAAATAAATGTTTTAATCAAGAACCTCTACTAAACATAATAACTGTGTGCATAAGCATCTTAAGGCCTTCTTAAAGCTATCTGTTACATTGTTAAAGCAATGATCATACTGCTGCTCAAAATAACTTCCTGCTTCTGCAAACTCTCTGCAAGCCTGTTTCCTGTCAGCCTGTGACTTTTAGCCTTTCTGAAAGACACACACTGTTCAACCCCTGAATGCAATATAAACTCCAGATTATATTATTAATGCAATGGTACTGATGACAATTATTTAACAATAGCAGTAAAATAATTTCCCTGCTCCACACTCCCTCTCTTGACCTCTGGAACACCAGAGGTCACAATACATTGTGTCCTCACGCAGACCCTCTCTGGTGGTCTCGGACCTCGAGATCTCCAGGATCCTCGCCCCTCCTGTGGTCGCCGAGATCGATCTTCTGCAAAAGAAACAAAACACCTTTTCCTGCACCTCCCTAACTTATCCTATCTGGGACTCTTTAATCAAAAGCCTGATCCTAATTATCTTCTTAACTTATTGACTTGTATTTATGTATACTCTTCAACGTTACTCATCCCTTTAGAACTCTTTAAGCCCTGCTTTCACGTCCGGTTGCTCGCTCTATTTTCCCTTATCTGATCATCAACATCCTGTGCACAAATTGTCGCTGCTGCAAGTTCCTCTACTCCAAAAGAAAACAACCACTTTAATCAATTAAGTTTAAGCATATAAGCAATTACTCCTGTATACATTTCATCATAGCTAAATGCTGCCTTGAAACAACTCCTATGTGTTAACTTCATTTTAACCTCACATTTCCTATGTTATAACCCGTTTTGGTATAGCCTTTTTATTTCATTTTGCTCCTTTTAATGTAACCATACCTTCTAATTCTAGTTTATCAGACTTAACCAAAATATATGCTTTCCTTCCTCTTTGGTCCTTCTTTAAGTTCAGTTAAAAGCTAAATGAATTTAAGGCCTTTTGCCTGGAATCAATACTGTCATGTGTGTTTCTTAACTCTGTGTCTGTAAGCGTGTGCAATCCTTCATGAACTCATATTATCCTCACAGTAGATTGGCTAATCATAGCGCTAGCCAAAGGCTCGTGACCCTCCAGAGACAAATTTGAGCCACAACTCCTTTAAAAGCACAAAATGCAATATGTATAAAAATCATTTCTATTTATAAGCTCCCCCTTTATCCTAAAAATACCTCCTATGTAATATCTGTATGTGTAAGCCTACATTATAACCACTACTTCTAGAAATCAAAAAGAAATCAAACCTGTTCTACTCCTTCAACCCTCACTAATTTTCCCTCCAAGATTTATTCACAGCTTTGAAAAACCGGCATTGTATCTTCTAAACAGGATTCAGTTCTGTCATGGTCCTGGGCCATGTTG